GTTTTCTTTATTTTGTACATCAGGAAGGGGGGCTAGGGAAGGGTAAGTGGAAGGAGGTGAGGGAGGAATGGGGTATGAGCCCCCGATGGGGAGGAGTGGGTTGTCTCTGCGGGCTTCTGGGGGTGGAAGCTCTCCTGCAGCCCCCCAATTGCCCCCTCTCTCCAGATGGCAGCCTGCGGCAAGTGCAGCCGGTCTTATGGCTGAGTGCTGTGATGTGCCCAGTGTGGGCACTCAGGGCACTCCAAGCCAGGACTGCTTTGCAAGCAGGGAATCCCTGAGAACTGTCTGTCCGGAGTGGGGGTCAGGACCCTTTAAGCACAGCCCTCGGCTAGCCTGAGGCAGTAGCTCCACGCACTAAGTCCTCATCTGATGCCCTGCCGGCACTGCTTCCGGCCATCCTTAAGCCCGGTTCAGGGTCCACTTAATGTGGACATGCTAGTTCGAATTAGCAAAACGCTAATTCAAAGTAGTTTTTTAGTCTGGATCCGTTAGTTCGAATTATCTTAGTTCGAATTAACTAAGTTAGTTCGAATTAGCGCTGTAGTGTAGACATACCCTGATGGACTTAACCTTCACGAATCTATCTAGTTCTTTTTTAAACCTTGTTAAAGTCCTAATCTTCACCAGATCCTCTGGAAAGAAGTTCCAGAGGTTGACTGCACTGAGTGAAGAAAAACTTCTTTTGTTTGTTTTAAACCTGCTGCCTATTAATTTCATTTGGTGACCCCTAGTTCTTACGTTGTGCGAATAAGTACATAACTTTTCCTTATTCACTTTTTTCCAAAGGAGTCAGGATTTTATAGACCTCTATCATATCCCTTCTTTCTAAACTGAAAAATCCAAGTCTTTTTAATCTCTCTTCATATGGGACCCATTCCAGACACCTAATATTTTTTGTTGCCCCTTTCTGAACCTTTTCCAATGTCAATCTATCTTTTTTTTTTTTTTTAAGATGAGGCACCCACATTTGTACACATTATTCAAGCTGTGGGCTATGGTTTTATATAAAGGTGATAAGATATTTGCTGTCTTATTCTCTATCCCTTTTTTAATGATTCCTAATATTCTGTTTGCTTTTTTGACTGCTGCTGCACACTGAGTGGATGTTTTCAGAGAACTATCCACAATGACTCAAAGATCTCTCTTGAGTAGTTGAAGCCAAATTAGTCCCCATCCTATTGTGTGTGTGTATATATATAGTTGGGATTACTTTTTCCAAAGTGCATTACTTTGTATTTACCAAGATTAAAATTCATTTGCCATTTTGTTTCCCAATCACTTAGTTTGGTGAGATCTTTTTGAAGCTCTTCACAGTCTGCTTTGGTCTTAACTATCTTGAGCAGTTTGGTATCATCTGCTAATTTTGTCACCTCACGGTTTACCCTTTTCTCTAGATCATTTGTAAACATGTTGAATAGGATTGGTCCCAGGACAGACCCTTGGGGGACCCCACTAGTTGCCTCTCTCCACTCTGAAAACTTACCATTTATTTCTACCCTTCGTTTCCTGTCTTTTAACCAGTTATCAATCCATGAAAGGACCTTCCCTCTTATACCTCGACAACTTACTTTACTCAAGAGCCTTTGGCGAGAGACCTTGTCAAAGGCTTTCTAGAAATCTAAGTACACTAAATCCACTGGATACCCCTTGACCACATGCTTGTTGACCCCCTCAAAGAGCTCTAGTAGATTAGTAAGGCATGATTTCCCCTTACAGAAACCATGTTGATTTCCCCCCAACAAATTATGTTTATCTATGTGTCTGACAATTTTATTCTTTACTATAGTTTCAACTAATTTGCCCAGTACTAAGTTAGACTTACTAGTCTGTAATTGCCAGGAACACCTCTAGTGCCCTTTTTAAATATCGGAAATGGGAAGTGGACACTGTTACAAAGAGATGGCATATTCCCAGGACAATAGCAAATCAGAGTGCAGGGATTTACGTGTTTGTTTAGTAACGCAAAGGTACAGTGGAAGTGAAGAGAATTGGATTCTGGAGGTCCAGTTTCAAAACTTGGGCACCTCAGTTATTTTCCACCTCAGCATCCACATGCTGCTGGCCACACAATGGCACCCAAACATACCTCAGTTCACCAAATCAGGTGAGAGAAAAAACTGCTGAATGGTTTTGAACAGGCCACACGTGGTCAGAGCCAATCAGGGTTGGAAGAAATATTGGTGCAGCCTGATTCGGCAGAGTTCCGCCAGCTCAGGTTTTTAGCACTGGAGTTTTGTGAGAGTAAGTCTATTACAATCCTCTTGGAACTGAGATGAGTAAAAGGCAATAAAAAGGTGGCAATCAGAATGTTTTTGTGTTTTGTTTTTGTTTTGGATGCAATGACCAGGGCTTGAAACAATCACTTCATACCCTTGGAAAACTGTGAAACTCTGCTTTCAAGTGGTGGGAAGCATTCTTTCTTAGCTTTGGTCACTTGCAAGAAAGTGCTGGTCCGCAGTCTAGCAGTGCTTTTGTTGGCTTGTGTTTGGGATAGAATAAATAACAAGTTTAGCTTGGGCTGGAGTAGTTTCCAGTTCTTCAGTTTTATATTTGAATACCATGTTTTGCTCACACATTTAAAATAAAGCACGACAATTAAACATGCCCTTCCCATTTCTTTCAGCTATTATTTTGCCAGATGCAATTGCCTAACAGATTGAGGGCAACAGGGCAATAATGAACCCAGAAGAACTGGCTAACCTCTGACTATCTGGAAATGAATCCGTGTTTTCTAGAGGAGCAGACTTACATCAGTTACTATTACACTTGGCATCTAAATAAAACATGTCGTTCCCCGTCTCCTCCCATCCCCAGGTAATTGCCAATAGTTTAAACCAGGTTTTTATTCAACAGTTTTTAAGAGCTGCAAACAGACTTACTGGCAGGTTTTCAGCTCTCGTATGGCAATCGAAAGCAGCTGATGCATGTTCTAAAATATAGGTGGAGGCTGCCAGAGCTTATGACTCAATTAATAAAACAAATGTGCCTATGAACTGCATGCTGCCCTTTTGACCTTAATCCAGTCTTGAAATGTTACTGAATTGACATAGACCTAATATTTGCACATGCACCAACCCCGGCCCTACCTCTTTAAGTTTTAGTGTGGTTGGCAGGATGGAAAATGTCATCAGTCAAAAGGTTAGAATTCCATGTTCTGTTATTGATGTTAACTTTCATTCAATTCATTGCTCCACTGCAGGGCAGATTGCGCCTGGCCCCTGTTCAAGTTCCAAAGGGAGGTGGAAAGCATGAGGAGTAGAGCCATGCAAATCCATGGATATCCATTTTCTCTCCACCTCTGTGGATGTAGATGTGGATATCTGTGAATCATTTTTGTGGATACCAATTTTGCATCCCCACGGGGCTCTAGTAAGGAGTCTTCTCTCCTTGTGTATCCCTGGTGTCTTTCCAATCTCTAAAACATAAGAACAGCCGTACTGGGTCAGACCAAAGTATCCAGTATCCTGTCTGCCGACAGTGGCCTCTGTCAGATGCCCCAGAGAAACTGAACAGAACAGGTAATCCTTGAGAGATCCCTCTCATGTCAGCCATTCCCAGCCCCTGACAAACAGGCTAGGGACACCATTCCTACCCATTCTGGCTAATAAGTATCAATGGACCTAACCTCTATGATTGCATCTAGTTCTTTAAATATCTCCCAAAGGCAAGATCAGCTCTCTCTTAGTGCATAGGCCTGCCAAAGGGAACTGGGAGGGGCAGCATCCTACACCAGCGAGCAGAGCTGGCTTGCTGGGCAGCAGAGACCACCCTGCACTCTCCTGAGGCAAGGTGCAGCATGTATACATCCATGTGCTGTGTGGGGAGCTCTACACGTGGCTTACATCCACCCGAAATTTGGGCCTGTGTATTTAAGGCATCATATGTCCCTATGGGTTGCCAGCTTCCTCTTTCCCCCTCAGCTGTCAGCATAACCAAGATCTTATGGAATAACTAGGAGGCTGAGCCACCTGGCTGCTACGCATGCGCCAACCTCCCCACGTCCAGCTACTACGTGCGCCAGCCTTCCCCCTTGGTCACTATGAGTGCCAACTCCCCTCCCCCCACCACTTTTGCTTTGCTGAGAGAGCCTGTCGATGCTGATGACGTGTTGATGTCATTCTGTTGCCCGGCAGGAACATTCTCTCATCCAGCAAGAAAAACTTTTTTACGCCCCTCATTCCCTGCCCCACTGCCCCGGCCTGTCTACACGGACTTGTGAGGAGGTCG